CCCTCCCTCCCTCCCTCCTTCGCTCCCTCCCTCCCTCCCTCTCTCATGACTGTTTTTTTGTCGCTGCTCCCCTGAGGCGAACTCGCAGGGAGTGGAGTCTGCAGTGGAGTTACAGCAGGGGGTCTTGCCGTCCTCCTCGCAGGAGCCTGCCCTTGCGCTACATCTCAGTGTAGGGGTTCTCCTCTTGTCAGCCTCAGCTACTATGGGCGGATCAGATGGTGACACTCCGACAGGTTGCCGCTGAGAGGCAAGAAGAGACTCGCCCGGCCGTATGCTACTCGTTCATCGTAGTGGTAGTACTACTCCTTCATCGTAGTGGTAGTACTACTACTACTCGTTCAACGTAGTGGTAGTACTACTACTACTCGTTCATCGTAGTGGTAGTCGTTCATCGTAGTGGTACTACTACTACTCGTTCAACGTAGTAGGCTTCTAATCCTCCTACCATCCAATCTGTAGAAACAATTGGAGATCCGACAGCCTGAGACCGTGAGAGCTAGGGCGAGGCATGAAAACCTGGAGCTCACCTGCCCTTGAAACGGATGCTCACCAACCTCGCGGCAGACATCTCTGGCCACACGTTCTTTACGGTTCACATTTATCTTTTGCTATCTGACAGCCTGAAGGAAAAACTCCATCAAGCATGTACGCCCTCCAACCGTAAACATTGCAACACTTTGTTGGGTGGTTTACAAAGTTGCGATCAATCGAGGATAGAACTCGCGTTTCAGTCGCGGCACGGTTTACTATCACCTAACATCATAACATATACCTCCTAGACTACTATTCGTCACAGGCTGTATGGCAATACTTGTCCGTCCCTCAGCACACATCGGCATTCCCCTCTTCCGTCCACCAGCAGCACGTCCAGGCCTTCGACGAGCTTTGTTTCTCGCAGTGTCAAGACCATGATAGCAAGCGCTTCTGCATGCGGCGGATTCCCTCCCACCACATACCCTCGGTTGATAGTTCTCGGCATACTTGCATGCTATGTAAAGGTTTCGAGATCTCGTGCATCAAGTTTGCGAGCTCTTTCGAAACAGATTGTTCCTTGCCTGCGAAGCCAAAGTCTCGCAGCTGCCGACAGACTGTCTTGCTGTACTCATTCAGTGTGTTCTTCGGCTCCGTCAACAGATGGCCCGTCAAAAACGTCTTGATACCGTCGGTAAGAGACATGCTGCAGTTGTACCGTGATATCCCGATCTCAATCAGCGCTCGATTGTTGACGATGAAAGCTTTCAGCCTCATATCCTGCAACTGCAGGTTGAGTGCGTTGATGAGTTGATCCTTGTTGGCCTCCAGGCTGATCTTTTCATTCTTGAGATCGTCGATCTGCTGGTCCTTGTCCTCGATCTGCTTGTTCGTGTCCTTCTCCAGCTTGATGCTCTGCTTTATCGCTTCATCGTACAAGAGAGTTAAGATCCCGGCACTCTTGTTATCGCCTGACTGTTGTACTATTTCTCACATGATTGACACCATGATATAGATCTCATATTTCCCTGATCGGCTATGGTGGTTTCACGATTTTCTTCATTGTACTGAATTAATCATCCTTAAACCTGGTCGCCGCCTTGCTGCCATAGCGATTTCCTGCAAACTCACCCACCCCCTCCTGCAGAGGTACCCCTAAGATTCCTATTAGAAATACCGGTACTACACCCTTTTATTCCGAGTTCCACCCCCCCTGTAGTAGTAGGTTCCACCCAGGGTTCTACCCCCGTACGATGGGGGATGAGGGCTAACAGTGAGGGGCGATGGCGGGGAGTGCGAAATGCTGAGACTGGAGTTCGAAAAGAGGGAAGGGAGAGGAGGAGGAGGAGGAGAGGGGGGTCAGGGATCAGCGATGTCTATCGGATCATCAAACACACGAAGGCTGAGGATACTCGTCGGGCTGTTTGCCTTGACTGCAGTCTTGCTATGTGGCCTGATAACCTGGGAGCAAACCGAAACGAACGAGGAGCAAATGTGGCCGCGACAGATTGCAGGCGATGGTATGCGGAGAGCCGATGCAGCTGATCGCAAGCTCCTCATGCTGTCACCATCCCTCTACGTTGCGGGCGTTGGTGATGGTCTCTTCTCACTGGTGAAGTTTTTCCCTGTTGTAGAACCTTGTTGGGGCTCACACTCGTTTTCAGTTTATCCTTTACGTCTTGTTGATCATCTCGGTAATACCCAGAACCTTGTTGTCTTCTTGCTCACCTTGCCCCAGTGTGCCGTTGGCTGCAACATCCGCAACGGCTGTCCGCTCATTCTAATCTCAGTCATCGTTGTTCTGGTTGTGACCCTCGTCCTCGTCCTATCGCCTCGGGTTTGCCCTTCTCCTTCCTCTCCCCATCACGTCCTCACGTCCTCCCCCGCAGGTTCCTCGGCAGGAGCTCCAGGCGCTGGCTGAGCAACAGAAGTACCAGCCCTTTGACAGGCAGGTCTCCGCGTCTAGAGCATTCGTTGACCTCTTGCGCAGGTTGTACATATGGCAGGCACTGATCATGTCGCTGGTGTGGCTGGGGCTGGTGAGCGAAATCAACTGATGTTCTTGCCGTCTCATCGCCACTTGTCTCCTCCTCCTCCTCCTCTTTCTCCTCCTCTATCTCCTCTATCTCCTCCTCAATCTCTATCTCTGCCTCCTTCTCCTTCTCCTTCTTCTCCTTCTTCTCCTTCTTCTCCTTCTTTCTCTGTGTCTTCTCTCTTGCTCATCTCTCATCTCTTTCTACCTTGTCCACCACTTCATGTTCTTTGTTGTTTTCTTTTACACGTCTTGTTGCCTCGTCGGTTCGTGAACTTCATTTCAGTTGATCGCGCTGATCTCCATGTTCCTTTGTCACTGTATCAAGCCCGTCTATGCCAAGTCTTTAGAGGATTGAATTTGCTTCCATTAATTCCATAAATAAAAGTCATATGCGCTCACCTATGACATGCTCAGCTCCTGCCTTCCGCTCCCTCAGGCCGCTACTTTCCTGCTCAATCCTCTTCGTGCTCGGAGGCTCCTCGTCCTCCTCGTCCTCCTCGTCCTCCTCCTCCGTCTAGTTCTGACTCCAGCAGCCGCCTAGTGCTGCCATGGCTGGTGCCACTCGAGTCACTGATATGACTCGCAGTGACCCGAGCCCAGGCTGTCACCGTGGCACTGGGCCGGGCACTGACAGATCGGACCCGTGATCTTCTACTTTATTTGACGTGATAGTGACAGGGCTTGTGGGCTCGCCTCAGGTGGAGCTGCTAGAGGCGTGGTAGGGCAGGCGTGTAGACACGGGAAGAGTGTTGTACAGATCACAGCGACCATGGAGGATGCGGAGGTGAAGGAGGGGGAGGAAGCGAACGACGTGGAAGAGGCAGAGACATGGGCGAGGTGGAGGAGGAGACGGGGGGTTGGGTGGAGGAGGAGAGGGATCCAGGCATCTAGAAGGGAAGAAGATGGTGAGACGGTCTTGCTGCAGGTTGTTGTGATGAACGGCAAGGAGCGCCTGAACGTGCCATGCAAATTGAGCTCATCCTTCGGGGAGCTGAAGAGTAAGGTAGGGGACGACTCCTCTGAGCACCTGGGGGTGTTCCGCTGCCAGTGCTGAAAGGTTTCTAGATCTCGGATCTGACAGGCGTCCCAGCCTCCCATCAGAAGCTCATCCACAAGGGGAAGGTGCAGTATCACCATGCACGACAGCGCGGCTGAGGTCCATGCAGCAACCAAGAGACGTCGACACCTTGCAGGCTGCCGGAGTGAAGAGCGGAGATAAGATGATGCTCATGAAGTCGCCTTCCGCCGCCAAGGATACTGCCATGGAGGAGTAATGCATGATCACTGTCCCCTCCTCCTCCTCCTGATGTTCCCTCCTCCTTTCCCCTCCTCCCCCTCCCAGCCAACCAACTCCTCCTCCTCACAATGATGTCCCTTCCCCTCTGACTTGGTTGACCCCCTTTCACAGGAAGAGGCTCTTGAGCGACAAGCGCAAGCAGGAAGCAGCTGAGTCCCAAAAGCTCCGGGACGAGCACCGAGCCGGAGCTCTCGATGCACCGATGCCGTTGGACCTGAGCTGTTCGCCTGCTGTTGCTAACCTTCCTCTCAGAACTCCTGCCAGCCAACAGCAGGCGACGACGGTGGTCGAGGACGAGAGGCTTCCTGGTGAGGCCGCGCTGCTCATCTCTCAAGGAAAGGTGAAGTACAAGGTGGCGATCGGGGAGGGGAGCCGGAGCGTGGAGGAGCTGAAGCAGAGGGTAGCGAAGCTGACGGGGGTAGACGCCAAATTCCATCGCCTCATCTACAAAGGAAAGGAGCTGAAGGATAAGGCTAGTGTGGAAGAGCTGGGGTTGAAGGACGGAGACAAGATGCTTCTGCTCTTTGCTGAAGGACATCACAAGGCTGTTGACGAGACGGCGCTTGTTGAGGAGCTGAAGGAGGACGTGACGGTCCTTGAAGGGGACGTAGGCAAGCTCATGAAGAAGTGCGAGCACGGCTTGTTCGGCGACGATCAGAACGAAATATCCATCCGTCTCGGAGTCCTCTGCCAGGTTTCTATCAGCTTCGCTCTTGCCCGTCGTCTGCCGTGACCTGCCTCCTCTACCTCATACCGAACTTCTTGCTCCTCTCCTCTCCTCGTCCCCTTTCTCTCATTTCTCCGTGATCTGCCTTGCTCTTCCGTGTTCCTTCCTCGTGCCATGGACTCTGTGACAACTAACGCGGGAGCAGGAAGGAGAGAGGCTCCTGGACAACATCCGATACCTCGAGCGAACGCCAGAGGGCAGGGACCTCCGGTCGTCCGCAGAGGAGAAGTTAAAATCTCTCATGCAGACGCTCGAGAGTCTGAGGATGAAGCATGTGGTCGGAGCCCATAGGAAATGAGTTGCTGCTCCTCCTCGATAGCGTTCTCTCTCCCTACCCTTCTCCTTTCTCTCTCTCTCTCTCTCTCTCACCCTCTCCCTCTCTCCCTCAGCTCTTCCATTCGGGCGCATACAGAACATTCAATTTTACTGAGCTCTAGACAAGCAGACGCTTCTCAGCTGTGGGCGAGAAGCCACGGCGTCTCTAGAGCCTCAGCTCTAGTCACGTCACACCAATACGAGTAACTCACCCTCAGACAAGCAGACGGGGCATGCGACTTTACCTGCCCTTACGAGTCTTTCTTTACCTTCTTCACTCTCCCGTTGCTCGTGGCATCCGCTGAGGCCTCCCCCAAGGCCCTCTTCTTCGCAGATTCCAGCTCACCATGCTCGTCTTCCAGCCGCATCCCTTCGAACTTCGACTGGGAGTAATACTCCTTCTTCACCCATTCCGGCAAGGCCCTCCGCTTCACCACCTGCACCCTGTCAAATGCGCCCAGCAGCCAGCCAGCTACGAGGGCAGTCGGTTAGGCCATACCTTGATCGAGATGCTGGTTTGAGTTGGATCTGTTATGTGTATCCCCAATAGGAACTCCTTCACCTGACAAGAAATTGGCAGTTGATACACGAGCGCTACACACGGAAAGAAGGAAAGGGAGTAGCAGGAGGAGGGAGGTAGAAGAGAGGGAGGAGAAGGTGAATCGCCCCGTGGGAACATCGCCGAGCGAAGAGAAATGGATGAACATACGGGCTGGGTAAAGTCGACGCTCTGTCCTGACGCTTTCATGTGCCTGACGAGATTGTCGTCGAACTTCAGCCCTAGGTAGAAGAAAATGTTCTGCCAAGGGCCGTCCTCGGGGTCCCCTGACGACAACAAGGTTCACTGGCTTCACCGGGCCCGTTCCTTGAGGCATCACCTCCTCCCAGATGCTCCGCTGGTATGGGCCCGAAGTGCCGCGTGCAAGGATGAACGATATACAGCCCTAATTGACTAGTCTTCGCACCCAAAACCACCCAGACATCCAAACATCACAAACGCAGCTGAAAAAGACAATCGCAACACCGTCAGCTTCTCTACCAGCTTCCGTATCTGAGACTCGACATATCCAGAGAAAGCTTCAATATGCTTCTCTGAGCCAAGTACTTCGATCTTTACAACCACAGATGAGTTTGAATTCGACCCTTCACATGCAAATCCATCACCTGCACAAAGGTCCCATACTGTTTGAAGAACATCGCAGGTTCAAACAGATCATTGTACGAGGACTAAGGCACAAGGTAAGTATGCAATCAAGACAGCAGATGCAGGCTTGCACTACTTCGCCTTGAGCCAGCCCTTGTGTCAAGCTGTTTGCTCTGGAGATTTCATTCCTAATCACGTTGAGCGCTGAATCTGTGATGTTGAACGTTGAGTTGGCCATGGGGTACGTCGGGGTGATGACGGTGAGAGGACGTCTGCGAGCAGGTCAGTGATGGCAGCTGGAGCACGGGAGCAATCTTCATGCCTTGAAAAATGATGTCTGGTAGGATCCCAAGAATGCAGGTTATACCGTTCTTGGCCGTCCGGAGCCTGACACTCCTCCGGAGGGGCGACGATGATGGCGTCTTCGAACTTCCAGTGCTGTCAAGCGAAGAAGCAATCTTCAGCTCGCCTGCAAAAAAACCGCGATAGATACCTTGTACAAGAAGAAGAACTTCTCCAGCAGAAGCGACGGACACATCTTGGGGTAGAGCTGCGCCACCTGTGCTGCCATTATCCCCCATGCTACCCCACCTGGAAACCCAATCTTGTCGAGATGAGGGTCAAAGGCTGTCGAGCTGGAGTATTGCGACTTTCACTCACAATGTTCGAGTAGATCTCCCTGCGACGAGCCCAGAGCTTGATCGCTCGCAGCAGGACTTTGAAGTTCTCGATGTTGGGAACTCGTTGCAACAACTCGTACGTCACTCGCGGCCCGTTCAGGCAAGTGATCTGGACAACGTCAGCCTCGACAGACTCACATTGATTGCCAGCTCACATCCTTCGTGTCCTCAATCCTCAAAAGATGACGGTCCAGAGCAATGTTCAAATCGGGAGGAATCGACCCGCAAGGCATGCGGACCATGCCCAAGTCGATGTCGAAGCCGCAATACTGAAACTTGATCACAGGAACAAAGGCATCTGCCAATGACTTGATGCATGTGATGCCTTCAACCTCTGCTAGCTTTGCAGGTACTCGAGAGAAGAACTCCGATCGGTTGACGACCTCTGGTATGATACACAGCAGGTCGATGTCGGAGTCGTGAGAATGTACCCCCAGGCAATAAGAGCCGAATGGTACAACCCTGCATGAGCAATCGAAATCCAGCGAGATGTTCTTCGTCTTGCAGATCTCGCAAGTCCAGGTCTTCATAATCTTCTCGATGTTTTCCAGAGCCTGCTCTCTTCTCTGGTTGCATTCCTTGTCTTCATACGCCCCAAGTTGTTTCAAAGTCTCCATCAGCTTATCATTCAGCTTCATGTCGGCTACAGAGGGACCATCGAACGAGAGTGGCTGTGCTTTCTTGTTTACTTTGTACTCGATCTTCTTCTCCCCCCCCAGGCCTTTATAGATCCATCTCATCGCGTCGGCCTCGTCCTCGGACATAACTGTCAAAATCCTTGGTTTGACCGCGGGTGACAAGATCGAACAAAGTTTCAAGATCAATCAAAGATACCCAAGTCTACTGCGAAGTCTTGATTCATATCAGAACTAGTAGAAACATCTTCGGCGGGTAAGCAAAGCTTTCGGCCCTCCACTCCAAAGCAGTGAAATTCTTCTTAAAACTGATTGGACCTTTAGAGATCACTTTTGCTCCCCGGAACAACAGGCTTGTTTCATGATATCCTCTGTGATAGACCACCAATCTTTCGCTCACACAATTCAATGATCAAAGTATTCGCTCTCTCAACAAGGTCCCCTTGGGCCATCTTTCATGGTTCTCCTGTCTCGCTCTATTTCTTCAACCTTCTTTCCTCTCGCTCTCTCTCTCTTCTTGCTCTTCTTCTCTCCTCCTCCTCCTCCCTCATCTCCCCCCTTCAGCGCTCCTGTTGTCCATTCCAACAGAGCCACTCAAATCCACCCACCCTCGTCCTCCGGCTCAAAACCTACTCTTGTGAGTACCCTACCCCACTTTTTGATGACCTCATGGCTTCAAACCGACCCCCTCGCTCTATTTTCAAGAATATACCACCCTACCCATGTACTATTCCACACTTGCCCGGCGTTGCCCGGGATTTACTCACTTCAAAAACATCAACCGCTGCAAATTTCATACCTCTGAGCCTCGGAGCGCCTCTGCAACAAACTGGCAAGAAATTGTTAGGGAGTCTCCTTGAAAACAGCTTGACAAGCTCGAAACTTGTGTAGAGTGTGAAGCTTAGACAAGCCCATTGCTGTCATGGAACGAAGAGCACCCTTCAAACGACGAGTCTGTCTTTACCTTCTTCACTCTCCCGTTGCTCGTGGCATCCGCTGACTCCGAGGCCTCCCCCAAGGCCCTCTTCTTCGCAGATTCCAGCTCTCCATGCTCGTCTTCCAGCCGCATCCCTTCGAACTTCGACTGGGAGTAATACTCCTTCTTCACCCATTCCGGCAAGGCCCTCCGCTTCACCACCTGCACCCTGTCAAATCAGCCAGCCACGAGGGCAGTCGGTTAGGCCATACCTTGATCGAGATGCTGGTTTGAGTTGGATCTGTTATGTGTATCCCCAATAGGAACTCCTTCACCTGACAAGAAATTGGCAGTTGATACACGAGCGCTTCACACGGAAAGAAGGAAAGGGAGTAGCAGGAGGAGGGAGGTAGAAGAGAGGGAGGAGAAGGTGAATCGCCCCGTGGGAACATCGCCGAGCGAAGAGAAATGGATGAACATACGGGCTGGGTAAAGTCGACGCTCTGTCCTGACGCTTTCATGTGCCTGACGAGATTGTCGTCGAACTTCAGCCCTAGGTAGAAGAAAATGTTCTGCCAAGGGCCGTCCTCGGGGTCCCCTGACGACAACAAGGTTCACTGGCTTCACCGGGCCCGTTCCTTGAGGCATCACCTCCTCCCAGATGCTCCGCTGGTATGGGCCCGAAGTGCCGCGTGCAAGGATGAACGATATACAGCCCTAATTGACTAGTCTTCGCACCCAAAACCACCCAGACATCCAAACATCACAAACGCAGCTGAAAAAGACAATCGCAGCACCGTCAGTTTCTCTACTAGCTTCCGTATCTGAGACTCGACATATCCAGAGAAAGCTTCAATATGCTTCTCTGAGCCAAGTACTTCGATCTTTACAACCACAGATGAGTTTGAATTCGACCCTTCACATGCAAATCCATCACCTGCACAAAGGTCCCATACTGTTTGAAGAACATCGCAGGTTCAAACAGATCATTGTACGAGGACTAAGGCACAAGGTAAGTATGCAATCAAGACAGCAGATGCAGGCTTGCACTACTTCGCCTTGAGCCAGCCCTTGTGTCAAGCTGTTTGCTCTGGAGATTTCATTCCTAATCACGTTGAGCGCTGAATCTGTGACGTTGAACGTTGAGTTGTCCATGGGGTACGTCGGGGTGATGACGGTGAGAGGACGTCTGCGAGCAGGTCAGTGATGGCAGCTGGAGCACGGGAGCAATCTTCATGCCTTGAAAAATGACGTCTGGTAGGATCCCACGCATGCAGGTTATACCGTTCTTGGCCGTCCGGAGCCTGACACTCCTCCGGAGGGGCGACGATGATGGCGTCTTCGAACTTCCAGTGCTGTCAAGCGAAGAAGCAATCTTCAGCTCGCCTGCAAAAAAACCGCGATAGATACCTTGTACAAGTGGAAGAACTTCTCCAGCAGAAGCGAAGGACACATCTTGGGGTAGAGCTGCGCCACCTGTGCTGCCATTATCCCCCATGCTACCCCACCTGGAAACCCAATCTTGTCGAGATGAGGGTCAAAGGCTGTCGAGCTGGAGTATTGCGACTTTCACTCACAATTTTCGAGTAGATCTCCCTGCGACGAGCCCAGAGCTTGATCGCTCGCAGCAGGACTTTGAAGTTCTCGATGTTGGGAACTCGTTGCAACAACTCGTACGTCACTCGCGGCCCGTTCAGGCAAGTGATCTGGACAACGTCAGCCTCGACAGACTCACATTGATTGCCAGCTCACATCCTTCGTGTCCTCAATCCTCAAAAGATGACGGTCCAGAGCAATGTTCAAATCGGGAGGAATCGACCCGCAAGGCATGCGGACCATGCCCAAGTCGATGTCGAAGCCGCAATACTGAAACTTGATCACAGGAGCAAAGGCATCTGCCAATGACTTGATGCATGTGATGCCTTCAACCTCTGCTAGCTTTGCAGGTACTCGAGAGAAGAACTCCGATCGGTTGACGACCTCTGGTATGATACACAGCAGGTCGATGTCGGAGTCGTGAGAATGTACCCCCAGGCAATAAGAGCCGAATGGTGCAACCCTGCATGAGCAATCGAAATCCAGCGAGATGTTCTTCGTCTTGCAGATCTCGCAAGTCCAGGTCTTCATAATCTTCTCGATGTTTTCCAGAGCCTGCTCTCTTCTCTTGTTGCATTCCTTGTCTTCATACGCCCCAAGTTGTTTCAAAGTCTCCATCAGCTTATCATTCAGCTGCATGTCGGCTACAGAGGGACCATCGAACGAGAGTGGCTGTGCTTTCTTGTTTACTTTGTACTCGATCTTCTTCTCCTCCCCCAGGCCTTTATAGATCCATCTCATCGCGTCGGCCTCGTCCTCGGACATGATCGGTCGTTTCCTACCTCCGGAGTCCCTTGTCCACCGCACCACCCTACCAGTGTGCTGGGCACCACCCACCTCCTCTGGTGCGTTTGCTGGGATACGGCCCCCGAATGATACAAATTCTTTACTCACTAAATTTAACTAAAGTTATCCCCCTTCTGTCGAAACCGCTGTAACGTCTGTGTTTGAAAGTATGCAAACAGACTTTCAAACTTCAAAGTTTAGGCACCGCAACTTGATCCCACCCCCCCCATTCCCCCATTTGATCTCTCATTCGCACCCCTTCTGCACCACCCCTCTCCTCTCACTCCCTTTGGCCTCGCGGACCCCCTATGGTCCTGCGTAGACCACCCCTTCAATGCCCAAGCTCGTGTTTAGGGAAGAAAAAGGTCAACTTAAAAAAAAGTTGCTCCTGCTCGTGCAGTCGGTCGCCATGTTCGAGCCTACCGTCGTCGTTGACTGCCGCGGTCACCTGCTGGGAAGGCTTGCGAGCATCATCGCTAAGGAGGTACCTCCAGCCAGCCTCCGAGAGACGATCAGAGCTTGATAAGTTCGTTGGGGAGGGGGGAAAGCGACGGGTCGAGGGAGGTCGAGGGAGGTCGAGGGGGTGCCATGTCTTGTTTCACTTGTCTTGCTCCTTCCGTCCTCTCAGTGCGAGTTCGATCCCGAGGAGCTGTGTTGATGAACGAGCACGTGAGGAGTTCATATCTGTGATGTGTGTGAAGAGACGCAGGATACGGTGGAACAGAGATTTGTTCTGAAAGGGCAGGAGGTGCTGAAAGGCAGGCAGAAGATGTGTATGCGTGCAACGCTCGTTGTGTGTTCATGGCTTCCTGTCATGAGATCCTCTCACAAATATGTTTTCCATGCGTTTCAAAACTTTTTCCTAGAGTGCTAACTCTTTCTCAACAGCTTCTCAATGGCCAGAGGGTTGTGCTTGTCCGCTGCGAGGAGGTCAACATCAGCGGGGCCTTCATTCGCAACAAGCTTCTCTTCATGTCCTACCTGAGGAAGAGGAAGAACTCCAACCCTTCGTCCGGCCCCTACCACTTCCGTGCCCCGTACGTACTCGCCTTCCCCTTCCTCCCTCCTGACTAGTTTCCGACCAGCTCGCGCATGGTGTGGAGAACTATCCGTGCTATGATGAAGCACAAGACTCCCCGCTGCCAGGCTGCCCTCGACCGCCTCAAGGTGAAGGAGCAGGAGGGAGAGAGTCAGAGGCTCACGAGTTCCCGCAGGTGTTCGACGGAGTCCCCCCCCCATACGACAAGGTTAAGAGGATGGTGATGCCGGACGCCCTCCGCGTCCTCAGGCTCCGGCCCGGACGCAAGTACACCAACCTCGGGAGAATGTGCAGCGAAGTTGGATGGAAGCACAGGGACACCGTGCTTGAGTTGGAGGAGAAGCGCAAAGTCAAGGGAGCGGCTTACTGGGCTAAGAAGAAGGAGGCCATCAAGGTCTGTTAGCTCGCTCGCTCCTCGCTCAGCTGACCTTGTTTTCTCCGTCCTCGCTTCTCCGCGTTTTCAGATCCGCAGAAAAGCCCTCCAGACTGCGGTACTTGCTGACCGTTGCCTGCCGGCTCCGTGAAGTTGACGATGAGTTGCAGGCTAAGGATCCCAAGGTGCAGAAGATGCAGAAGATTCTTGATATTGTTGAGAACCCTAGGTAAGACTGTCAGTCTGTACTGCCCGGCTCTGACTCTCAGCCCTTTCAGCATTTAATGTTAAGATTTGTTGATGTGTTGATATGCTTCTAGCGATCGAATGAAGTTTGGGGGGTCTTTATGAAATTTCGTCTCTATTGTTCACCACAACATCTGAAACCTTCACAATACAACCTATCACGTAGATGCGCGATGTTACCATCCTTGTCATGCCGGATCATGGGAGGAGATCCTGCTCTGTGACAAGCCAGACTCGAAAGGATCGTACGAAGGGCTCCATGCTTCGTCATCCTCAACAGGTTGCTTGCTCCTCTTCGTCTTCTTCCGCGGCTTCCTATCTCCTGCTCCAACTGGGTCATTCCCTGACGCACAACAACAAGAAATCCTCTACCTGCATCCTCGATGGAGTAGTCCAACGAGAGCTCATACATCCCACCTTGCTCGTCTTCTACTTCCTCCCGCTGTTCAGCAACCTTGCTCAGCGCTCTCTCCCTCCTGTGGTAGGTCTTCGACCCACAGTCTACGGCCTTGCGGCGGCTCTTGTTGTGCAGCAGCGCAGCCTCGAACTCCTCCCTTGCCTTGAGGTGCATCGCCACCTTGCCGCTGAGTTCGTCTGAGGAGCTGCTGAGGTTGCGAAGGATCTGGCGGAGGTATGCTAACTTCTCCTCAGACGGGCCGACCTTGGGCCACTCCCAGAAGGGGATGGCATGGAACTTGTAGCCGATCTGCTCCAGGTGCCGGTGCTTCATCTTGGTGCTGCCAGACCGCTCGTAGGAGTTGAGGAGGAAGTGGAAGGGCCCGTCGACCTCCAGCGCGCAGCCGAGGGAGGGCATGAGGATGTCGAGGGAGTACCCGACGGAGAGGTCGATGAACTCCTCTGTGCAAGTCACTCCGAGCTGCTCCATGTGGTCCACCACGTCCGTCTGCAGGCGGGAGGAGGTGACCTCGGAGAGGAAGCGGCTGTAGAGCGCCTGCCGAGCGGTGGACGGGGAGATGCTCACCAGCGGCTGGTTGGAGGTCAGGGTTACGCCGGTCTCGTTGAGCGCACAGAGCACAAGGTTGGTAGCTGCTGCACGCACGAGCTGCTCCCAGCTCATGGTCTCCGACGCTGCTCTCCCCCTCCCTCCTCCCTTGCTGGGGGCCGGGAGCGAGATTTTCTCCTCGCCAGCCGCGTCAGCGTACAGCAGGTCGTGGAGACTCTGAGTGACGGAGACGCCTGGGGGGAGCAGGCGGTCGAGCTCGAGGGTGAGGAGGAGCTGGTGGACCTGGCGGAGGCAAGTCCAGCTCATCTCGTGGATGCGAGAGGAGGCGGTTCGACGGCACCACTCGAGCAGGTGCTGGTCGTCGATCTGGAGCACAGCTGAGCTCCAGCAGATGTTGGCGATGCCCTGGTCCTCGTCCCCGAGGAATCTGATGCGCGAGACCATCTGGCAGGCTTGACGCACGAGCGCATCGTCCCGGATGTCCAGCACAGCCAACGCGTGCATCACGTTGGAAGCCGCCTGAGCCTCCATGGGCTCCTCCTCCTCCAGCGCGATCGCGACCCGCTTGAAAAGATGGCGCACAAGGTCCACGTCCCTCAGCGTCGCGCGTGCCAGCGCGTTCATGACGTTGGCGACGTTCTGGATGTCGAGCAGCAGGGGGTCGATGCGCTTGGCTGCGGAGGCGAGGTGAAGGAAGAGGGCGTCGATGTCGACGTGGCAGTCCTGGTCAGAGAGGTCTTTCTGCACCCTCGAGTAAGCGTTGAGGATGTTGGCGACCGCCTGCGCGTTGAAGTCCTCGAGGGGGATGAGCTGGGCGGCGAAGGCGAGGTGCTCGAAGACCTTGACGTCCACCTGGTCGAGCTTGGCGAAGGCGTTGACGATGTTGCTGATCGCCTGAGCGTTAAAGTCGCTCTGGGCGTCGAGGAAGAGGATGACAACAGCCATGAAGTCCATGAGGTACTTGCGCGTCTCCTCCTCCACGTCCAGCCTCATGTACGCGTGCACGATGTTGCTCGTGGCTTGCGCGTCGAAGAGGTCAGGGTGCATCTGCTGGACAATGAGAGAGAGGTGCTCGAGGAGACGGCGATCGTTGATGTCCATCCTTGCAAAGGCGTTGGTGATGATGGCGATGTTCTGAGCATCGAAGACTCCCTCGTACAAGTGGACGGGGGTAGAGCAGATAATGGAGGACAGGTGCCGGAATGCCTGCTCCATCCGGCTCCTCTCCAGCAGCTCGAGCTCGTTCAGCCTTGCAAGCGCGTTGAGGTAGTTGGAGCAGCTCTGCCCGTTCCACTCGCTGCTGGGCAGTTCGCATCCCACCTGCACCAGGTGCTCGTACAGAAGCTCGTCCTTCCAGTCGCTCTTGGCGTACGCGGCGGTGATGAGGACGAGGTTCTGACCGTTGAACGCCAGCGCGCTCGTCTCCTTGATGCGGCTAGAGAAGTAGGAGGGTATCTTGCTTGTTGGGAAGAAGGAGGAGCGAGAGATGGTGTGTAGGATGCTGGCCATGATCGTCAGGTCGAACTGGTCGAGAGGAAGGAGGACGCCGACTGACTCGAAGAACACAGCGAGCTCCTCGTCGAAGTAGTTGGCCCGCGTGAAGGCGCTGAGGAGGAGGGTGAAGGAGCTGGGGTCGAGCTCGGAGGGTGTCAGGTGGCAGGTGAGGAAGGCAAGGTGAGAAAAGATGGAAGAGGGATCGTCCTCCTTCTCGAGCTCCTCCTCCTCTCCGTCTCGATCGACGAGCTGCAGGAACTTGGAGTAGGCGAAGATAACGTTGCCGAGCGCATGAGGGTTGGAGGTTTCTGGGGTGATGCGGCGGAGCATGCGAGCGAGGTAGCGCATGGCATCGACGGCGAGAGGATCGTCGTCGAACATCTCGACCTGAATGCACGTGAGCAGGAAAAGAGGGGAGAGAAAGAGAAGGAGGGAGGGAGGGAGGGAGGGAGAGAGGGAGAGGGAGAGGGAGAGGGAGGGGGAGAGAGAGGGGGAGGGGGAGGGGGAGAGAGAGGGAGAGGGAGCGAGAAAGGGGGAGAGAAAGGGGGAGAGGGGAGAAAGGAGGAGCAGGAACACAGACCTTGACTATGGCAGTCATGAGGACGGCAATGTTCTGGAAGTCAGAGGCCGAGAAGCTCGTGCAGAGGATCATCTCAAAGATGAAGTGGAAGAGATGCTCGCTGAAGATCTCGAAGCGCGAGTAGGCGTTGGCGATGAGAGCGAGGTTCTGGGGCTCGAAGGAGGAGGGAGAGAGGGTTGTTGCGACTGAGTTGAGGAAGGAGAAGAGGGGCCGGTCGATCTCTGCCTTGCGGATGTATGCGTTTGCGATGACGCCGATCGCCTGCAAGAATGTTGGATGAGAATGAGAGAGGGGAGGAGGACAGGAGGGGGAGTAGCAGACACAGGGGGGGAAGAAGAGGAGGAGGAAGAGGAGGAGTAAGAGGCAGGAACACGAAAAGTGGAGGGGACCGTTGGGAAAGAAGGAGAAGGAGGAACAGAAGACGAGGAGGAGAGGAGGAGAGGAGGAGAGGAGGAGGAGCGAATGAGGAGCAGCAGGAGGAGCAGGAGGAGGAGGACCTGGCCGTTGTAAGCAGAGGGATCGATGGTCAAAGCGAGGGAGGAGAGGAAGGAGAACAGCTTCTCGTCCTCTATCTCTGCTTTGATGAAGGAGTTGACGATGTTGGCGATGGCCTGTGGCTGAAACATGTGCGCAGGAAGCGACTGAGTGATGCGAGAGAGAAAGCAGAAGAGCTCCTCGTCCACTGCATGCTCAGTCAGCGACCAAGAAGATGGAGGAGTGATGGAGGAGGGGAAAGGAGAGAAAGGAGGAGGAGATGGAGATGGAGGAAATGGAGGAGGAGGAGGAGGATTAGAGCATGGACAAGGAATCAGGGAGGAAGGAGGTAGAAGAGGAGCAGTCAGTCCTACTTTCTTCCAACTTGGCGTAGGCATTGAGGATGCTGCTGATGGACTGACAGATGAAATCGTCAAGCGAGCAACGAGACAGGCATGAGATTTGGAGGAGGCGAAAGACGAGAAGACGAGAAGAAGGATAAGACGGAGGATGAGACGGTGGATGAGGAACACGAGGAGAAAGGCCAGAAGGAGAAGGATGAAGGGGAAGAGGAGGACATGGTGGTGGTGGAAGAGGAGGAGAAGGGGGAGGAAGACGAAAGGTTTCAAACGCGCCTGTGCGCTGAAGTCGGAAGGGTCTCTATCAAGTATTCTTTCCTTGAGCATGTCGAGCAGCTAGCAGGAACAAGATTCCAGTCAGGGGGTGAAGTTGGAAGGGGGAGGTTGACAGTACCTCCTTGTCTTTCAGTTCTGTCTTCGCCATCGCATTGACGATGTTGGAAATGGCCTTGAAGAGATGTCATATGATTGTGTGTGTGTGTGTGTGTGTGTGTGTGTGTGTGTGTGGGG